TTTACATCAAAGTTTTATTGATTCTCTAGAATTCAATACTTCCCTACAACTTATTCATACTAATGTGCCAAGCAAATTGCAATTCCGATCCCATTTCTATCATTCTAGCAGTGAAGTCAATCAAGGTGGAGATTGATACCCTAAAAATGGAGTCCACCTGTTCAAAGAGTTACGTTCACGAATCGAAACGATAAGCAATTGCATCATTGCACTGGTAAGAGTATTGCTTCCAGTAAATCACATTTTCTAATTTAGACATACATCAGAACAAAATTGAATTAACAGCTTGGATTAGTGTTGCACTCGTTCTTATTATTAGAATTTATGACCTTTGCTTTGATCGACGTGATCCATTCCAAAGGTAGAAAATGACCATCATGATTCTGCGAGCGATAAGCTTGCTTGATCAAATTCGCTACCATTTATGGACTAAGCTTGTGGGCTTTCCTGCGACGTTCGATGGTCATTGCCATGTCGATTATTCCTTTGCAGCGTGTCGGGGCCATCATTGAATGGTACTGACGAAGAATGGCTACTCATCGTCTCGCTCAAGTCCTGTACTTGATCATAACTCGTACGACCTTGCCATCTTTTCTTTTGAGCATGGAATGGAGGAGATAACTGCGAACCGCTATTCGTCCTATGGTGCTGGTCTGAACACGATGAATTGTCCATGTCGTGAGAGTCATCATCTTGATGGGCATAGTAATCTTGATAGATTGGCGAGGTCATGGACGACAAGGAGAAAATAAATTCGTCTTTCATCGCTCCTTCTTGTCCAGGACTATTACGACTCAAGTTCATGCAATCGTCGCCAGCATCAAGGCTACTGTGACTGCGTTCAGCGCGTTGACGACCATATTTGCAGCAATCTGTACTACACATTGAACTCTTGTCGCTTTCATGTTGACTGCTGTCGTTGAAAATGGCTTGGACTTTCAATCCGGTGGCTACATTGCCAAATTTTCGACTGGTTTGGAATAATTTTCGTTCCCGACAATAAATTTGATATTCTATATCCTGTAGATTGCGTGTAAGTTCTTCTTTATTGGCTTGAATTTCTTTTAGTTTTTGAATGAGTTGGCAATACTCGGCTTGACTGACTCCGTCATCGTAGCTCATTTCGATCATCCAGCACAGCAATAGCGTGTAGGGATGGATAGGGTAAGAATGGAGTTAAACTTTCCTTTTAATTATCGACTACGACAGTCAAGCTTTCTAATTCCTATCGAGGCTGTAGTCAAGTAGATGAATCATTCAAAACGCCACCAAAAGATGAAATGGATGTAGCAGTTTGGATATGGTCGCCCTTGTCCTCAGATCGAAAATGAGTCCAACGACAACTTCGCTAATAACTCCAGCCTTTTTATACGATGGCCTTAACCTTATCTAATGAGGACCACTATTTATCATTAAGCTATCTTGCTTATGATATTATTGTGACCACTTTGGCCACAGTACGGTGCAAATGATTAGCTTATGGTCCAGCAGAAGTCAAACCCCATCTGCAAGAATTTACAAGCTGCTCATTTCCAAAATCAACCAGCGTCGTCAAATTGTTCTATAAGCGCCAATGGTTTTGCTTCGCTAGATTGTACGCTGTATGATATCTAATTGCGCTACTACGCTCTCCATATATAGTACTTGGTCATGGATCCTTCTATTGCTCAAGGTTCTTAAAGTAGCATAGAATCGTTTAATCCCTTATTTTAGAATCTTTCAGTACTGGCTGTTGTCAGAGTTTGTTCTGGACTGTAATTTTCCGACACTGGCCATTGCTTGCCACAACTTTATAGTATAGTGTTAAGGTGGCATGAGCAAACTGGCAAAATATGGAATGCTTCCAGGGTCAATGCTGTAGACTTGAGTGGACAGTTTACCTCTCCATCCAGTCGAAACTGGCCTATGCCCTTTTCTTGTTGACGCTCATTCATGGAAATCGACTACCATCTCTTCCACTAGAATTCATGAGAATAATTTACCAAGAGATGCTCATGAACTTCCCCAAGAAGGGAACTGATTTCGTCGTCAATCAATCGCCAACTGGATATCCAAGCCGATGATGATTTCTCCTCCAATGTCAGCCATTTCTACGTAC